GGTGATCGAGGACCTGGACCGGTTCGTGAGGAGGAGGGATTACTACCGGAGGGTGGGCAAGGCGTGGAAGAGGGGTTACCTGCTGTACGGGCCGCCGGGGACGGGGAAGTCAAGCCTTGTGGCGGCGATGGCCAACTACCTGAAGTTCGATGTCTACGATCTGGAGCTCACCAGCGTGTACTCGAATTCGGATCTCAGGAGGACACTGCTGAGCACCAACAATCGGTCAATTATCGTGATTGAGGATGTTGATTGCAGCGCGCAGATGCACGATAGGGACGGGGAATCGGACGGGGACTCGAACTCTGAGCGTGGAAACTCGTCTGGTCACGAGGTTTGTTCCCTTTTTTTTTTATTTCAATTTTTGTGAAGCTTCGTATGAGTTTCAGATATTGGTCAAATTTGTTACTTGTTATGTTAAGATAGGGGTCAGGTTACTAACAATTCCGTCGTGATTTGTAACCGTTAGATCAAGTATCTCCGATAGTTACATAATGATCTAACATTTACAAACCCGACAAAACGATTCTGTAACATGACCTTAACATTTTACATTAAGATAACTTGTCATTATTCATTGTTTTTTCACCTTTTGCGCTTTTAAATGAGTTGCCTATAATATTTTATTGACGCTTCTTTTATTTTGAAACAGCTTACATTGTCGGGCATGTTGAATTTCATAGACGGGCTATGGTCCACCTGCGGAGATGAAAGGATAATTATTTTCACTACTAACCACAAAGAAAAATTGGACCCGGCCCTTTTACGGCCCGGTCGAATGGACATGCACATTCACATGGGTTACTGCACGCCGGAGGGTTTCGACGTCTTGGTCTTGAATTACTTGGAAATCAACGATCATCCGTTGTTTTCTGAAATTAAAGAGTTAATTCGAGAAATTGAGGTAACTCCTGCAGAGATTGCAGAGCACTTGATGAGGAACGAGGATCCAAGCCTCGCCCTTGAGGGTGTACTCAATTTGTTGAAGCAAAAAAAGAAGGTGGAAAATGTGAAAAATGAGAAGAGTGAGGCTAAGGAAAATGAAATAAATGGAGATTATGATGAGTGTAATGGTGTGGTGGAAAAGAAAAGGAAAAGTGGTAAGTTTGAGAAAATTGTTGAAAATTTGACTAGGAAGGGTGT